TCTTTATTTGACCCTCTAACTCTAGCACTCTCTATTCTAATTCTATTCTTTAAAAAAAGAAAAACTTGCCCCTTTTAGACTTGCACTTTATTCACTTACTAACTGCTTATTTTTCTTTAAAAACAAACAAACTAACACTAGCTTCTAACCTTGCTACGTGTACTGCATTAAGCTAACTGAGACTTGTTATAACACTTGTATATCATTGCTCTTTTGTTGATTCTGATTGCTTCCATTTGTAAGTCGCTTTGGATAAAAGTGTCTGCTAAAAGACTAAATGTAATGTAATGTAAATGTAAAGATCCTTTAAAGTCATTATTGTTTTAAATGAGAAAAGCACTGAATAGACATTACAAGAAATATATTGATTCAACATGCATAAATAATGGTAATAAATGGGTATTAATATTTGTTTAATTGAATATTGAACTTTGGCAAATTCTATTGCACTAGACTGTACTTTGTAAACACGACCCCCTGTCTGTCGACACTATGAACCTGTGCAACAATTCCAGACAGTTACATAAAGACAGCCAATTAGATTAGAGCTTGCCAGATTGAGAAAGCTCTTGGCAGCTGTGTATGCAATGTGTCTCGTGTGTGTGCGTGCGTGTGTGTGTGTGTGTTACCGGGTCTGCGGCGGCCAGCTGACAGCGCTGCACCAGGCTGCTGAAGGTGGTCTTGAGGATCATGTGTTCGGCGGGGATTTCCTTCTGCTCCACGTGCTCGGCAGGAAGCTGCTGTAAGGACTACAACACACACACACACACACTGTTAATATGATGAAAAACACAAGCTCATCTGACAGGCTCTGGCATGACGACCTCTGACCTGCACGCTGGGCTCCTGAGGGGCTCCGGGCGGCACCTGGATCCGATCCTGAGGAACAGGAGTCTCCACCGGGAAACCCATCACCGGTGCTGTGATCGGAGCAGGGGGAGTGTAGTTCTCTGGCAGCTGAACAACACACACACACACACACATACACGCACGCACACATACACGCACGCACACATACACGCGCACACACACGCACACAGACACATGCGCACACACACACGCGCACACACACAGACACACGCGCACACAGACACACGAAAATGGTAAAGTCTACACGCGCACACGCACAGACACACGCGC